TGTTGCTGACGCTTACGCGTTCGTACAAGGAGAGCCAGTCTTCGACGTCTTGCTCACCACTTCCGCTGAAGATTGGTGGGTCCCGCTGGCGGGTAGCGCCGGGGCAGGTAGACGGGGCAGCCGATGGTGCTGGCTGGGCTGGGACGGGCTGGTTGGCGACTGCGTCAGTCATGTTTCGCGGTAGTCTTTCAGGCAACTTGCGAGAGCGGAGCTCCAGGTCTTCTTGGGGATCTCAGCAGCCTCCACCAAATGTGATGACGTTTATTCGAGCCGAGAAGTCGCAGCGAGGTCGCAACGGAAAGTGGGCGTACGGCAAGTCTGGCAGAGGCGGCACAAACTCTCGCGCAAGCAGAGCACGGGCTTTTTGTTGTCTTCCGAAGGCACATACGCGTTGGTGCGTATGCTCCACTACATTATTATTATTATTATCATTATTATTGTTGTTGTTGTTGTTGTTGCTGTTGTTATCATTGTTATTGCTGTTTTGTTCTGTGCAGTGACAATCCTTTCAACGAAGTCATAACTGATAATAATAATAAAGTAGAATATTATTACTTTATAATAATAGGAAATTATTTTTAATATTATTGTTATTATTATTAATATTACTTTCAAGCAACGTTCTAAACAGGTTCTGCTGAGGATATTGGTTGGGCCACCGTCAAGCATCAATTAGCTCAAGTGTATATGTAGTGAGCATGGCTCTGTATAGCCCACCATAGCATAGCCCACCACTTTAGCCCCACGGTGGGCTAAAGTGGTGGGATCTTTGCAGCGCATCTACGGGGCATTTCGTGTTGTCTGGGCAGGCGAACTGACTTGTCAAGAGCAGTAAAAAATGGTCTGAGCTTTTATTACCGCATTGGGCGCCCTTGTAGTGTACTGCGTATTGCAAAGGAGTACAGCCGCTAGCGTGGGTTCTGTCTTGGCGAGCCACAGGGCTGCGTTCACCGTCGCTTTGTGTGGCTAACGTGGCGGCACATGTGCATTCGGACAGTCAAGGCGCCGAGCACAGAGTGGCAAGTACACAGTAGTGCTCTCAAACAGGTTGCAACACTTTATGGCCTGCAGCAACACCAAAAACGCATACAGTGCCTGTTGCAAAAGGAAGCGAGAAAGCAAACAAGACTTATCCACGCCATAGGTGAAAAGCACAACACAAAAGGGTGCCGCAAGCATGTCTCCATGGGCAAAAGGGGTTCAGGATGACACGCTGCTGAGGGGAAACAGGCCTTCGTGACTATGCTGCGTTGCTCTCACGATCTGTGACCATAGGGCACAATCACTTGAGCGAGGGCAAAATCTGCTTGCGTTGGCTTGGATAGGTATGGGTCGGCGTAGTAGGACCATGCTGTGAAGACACCACACCGCTCTTCAGCCTAGTGTTCGAATGGAGCAACAAAAAGTAAGCGTTCCCCGTGGGCACAAGGTGCCGTTGGCGAAGTCCGAACGTGTCCCAAGCTCGCGTTGGCTTGGATAGGTATGGGTCGGCGTAGTAGGACCATGCGTGAAGACACTACACCGCTCTTCAGCCTAGCGTTCGAAAGGAGCAACAAAAAGTAAGCGTTCGCCGTGGGCTCAAGGTGCCGTTGGCGAAGTCGGAGCGTGTCCCAAGCAATGGGAGCCGATAGATGGGAAATAAATGCATGCTCACCCTTCGTCATCCCGAGAGTTTCTTTGACTCCCCCTTGACGCGCACGCGCGAGACCTCCCGAGAGACTGGAGCGCAGCGTCACAATTGACATCCGGGAGAGAGGGTCAATATCACTACCACTCCCCCAGCGCCGACAGAGCGCAGAGGAGACGAAAGTCATGCTTAGGACATGAGAACGGCAGAAATAGGCAATAAAGCCCGTGCAATAGCGGTGGGCTAGCCTCAATTCCTACATTGTTTAGAGTAGAATCTCGATGATATGATTACAGTTGATGCGAATTTCGGGATGATATGAATTTTGAAGTAACTTCGGATGGACTACATTATATAAAGTACGCCGCGATTCGGTGTCATACGAACGGTTTCCCCAGCAATCGCGGATGATACGATTTTGCGATTGACCACTGCACGTGAATGGGGCAATGCAGCTTCTCTGTGGAAGGTAGGTCCATTCACCCTTGGCCTCGAAGGGAGCAAAGGTGGCAAAACTCACCGAAATTTCCCTCGCTTTGCTGCCGAAAAAGTGGCCGAATAACGATGCCGCGAAGCCGCAGCGAAAAAAATGGGTCCAATACGAATTTCGCCGCCACGTGATAATGGGCCGCCTTTTTGCTACGGCTTTGGCTTTATCTGCATCAGCCGCATTAATTGCGCTACACACAACACGCCGGTAATTGTTGCCCAATACTAACTGTCGCCATCTCTCACCACCTTCTACCTGTCTGTGCATGCACCACTGGCTGCGCTAGAACTCAAACCACGTGATCTAAACAACAAGCCAAGTTGCCCAGTTATCCAGTTGCCGCTTACAGCGAAGCAAGTGAATTTTCACTAGGTTTTGCTGCTTTCGCTCTCTTTGATGCTAAGTGTGAACGCACTTTATAGCGCTAGCAGCATGAGTGAGGAGGCCACAGCAATTTATTGAGATATGGTCAAGGCAAGAGAGTTCAAAAGAACATCATAGATATTTTCAGCAAGAAGTAGTTGACCCAATAATGTTCTTGTTCATCTTCATCAACAGCTTGAACTTTTTTTTTAATACGAATTCTGAATGATACCAATATTTTGTGTGCTTCCTTCGAATTCATATTATCGAGATTTTACTGTATTAAAAATCGTAGTGTGGTGACAGAGATTCCTTGTGGTGGTACTTGCTTCATAAAACTGAAATTGATAATAGGCAGACAGGTCCGGTTAGAGGCTATAGTTACAACGGAGTGTGGCACAGTGATGTCGCATGCCAGGAGAACATCTGGAATAAGCGTGACTATATAATCACCGTCAAAAACGGAAGAGGTTGTTGCCAATTCAAGGAATGTGAGAGATTTTGGTGGTATCTGACTGAAGTTGGTGGCACAGAGGCTGTTCCGGAGTTCGGGGCGAGAATCTGGAAGAAGAGGAAGTTTTAAACAGAGTGTGCCTGAGGAACAGTCGATGAGGGCAGAACGCATCAATAAGAAGTCCATCCTGAAGATGAGGTTGTCAGGGAAATTTTTGAAAATCGTAAATAAAACAGGAACTTGGCGGCCGACAAGGCTACTACGAGCGGTACACATTTCAATGACTGCCACAGTTCCACCATCGGCGACGCCAATGGCTTGAGTTGCGCTAGGCGTGAGTTTTTTTTTTTTTTTTTTTGTGGCGGGAACAAAGATGAGCACTCATCATGGACACCTGTGCTCCAGTGTTCAATAAAGTCGTCAAAGAAAGATAGTCCACATGCACTTCAATCAAGTTTTCATTTGTAGGGAGAATCAACCGAGGATGATGCAGCAATACCTCCAGGAGCTGCATTTTCTAGTTTTCTGTCCGAGAGGATCCATAGTTAGTCAGCAATGGATAGCAGCATGGTTCGTGCGACTGAGAATGGCGGCGTTGTGGTGATGGTGGACGAGTGGTGGAGCGGCTGTTAGGTGTGCGTCGGAAGCAGGATACTCACGGCTGGGCGAATACTGACAGGGGTCCACGTATAAGCGAGAAGAGGAAATTTGGCTCTGAGGGGGGTGAGAGGGGGGGTCCAGTCCAAGTGCTGTGGCAGGAAAGGGAGGCATGACCAACTCGGTGACAGCGAAAGCGAATCGACTTGTCTGCAGCTCTCCATTTTGTTGGATTGCGGGATCTGGGCAGAAAGTGTGGGTTGTGGCGCGGTGCATTCGTTGGCATCAGTCTGGAGTCTGGTTGGGAGACGGTGCAGGTGACAGAAAAACTGAGGTTTGCAATTTCTTGCCGCACGAGTGCTTGAATAACTGAGACTGCTGGAGGTGTTTGGACGATGCCCTGGTGTAATGGAAGTAGATGGAAAGGCGTCGTATTTGCTGTCTCAAGCTCGCACCCAGCGATGGGTGTCACATTCTCGTGCAAAGGTGGTGTGGCACCGAGATTGATGCAGGTTCACTTGACAGCCGTGTTTGTGAGCAGCGAAAATTGAGGCAGAAATTGGCGGCTTTTGACCATTTTGAAGCGGCAGCATTGTTTAATTATGAGATTGACGGTGGTGACGGCATACACAAGTTGAAAGTGTTGTCCGGGATGCCTTTGAGCGTGTGGCCCACCTTGTCACTCTCGTTCATTTGCTCATCCTTTCCCGGCACAATGCGAGCATGTCCTGTATGTACGAGACATAGGACTCTGTTGACGACTGAACAAGGATGGCAAGTTTTTGTCGTGCAGCCGTTTGGCAACCGGATGGGTCCGCAAAGATGTCGCATAGTCGTTCTTTGACGATGTCCCAAGTGAGCACTGAATAATACACGTGGGGTGCCATCTAACTAAGAGGTCACGTTGGTGAGCATCATGGCAGGGTCTCATCGGGGAGTGTGCCTAACACGCTCGTACATGCGGAGCCAGTAGTAGACGTCAGGGTAAGGTTAGGCAGAGAACGTACCAGGGTGACGGGGGTGGGACATTGTAAGGTACGTAGTAGTTGGCGCTCCAGCTGGAGACGGTGACGGGTTGTTGTGATTAGACGCCATAACTGGAGGCTGAATGATGCAGCCTCTCCAAAGCTTTGTGGCGAGGACGGGGGAACGTTCCACCTCCACCAAATATGCTATGGGAGAGGAAAGATGCCAGGTCGACGAAACAAACTTCTGCAAGGAGCGATAGAAAGCACGGGCTCTCAGTTCAATTTACTTGTTGTGGACTTGTCTTCAAATTATTAGGAGTTACCCCCACTAAAATACACTGTGCTGTGCTGGGACTAGGACGTTAGTTCGAAATAACTGCAAGTTTGAATTAACTGAGTTCATATTAAAGGTCTTTTATTCTACAAGCATGTTTGTGTGATTCGGTTCTTTAGCTGTGGTGAAATATTGGTGCTTGTAATGGTATCCTTCTTCGCCTGCAGATGCCAGTGCTTGACAGACACAAAAAACCGTCACCTTGTGTTTGAGGTGTGTGGTACATCAGAGACGCCTGTGTTGTGGAAGAGTGAAGTTCGGATCCTCTGCAGTAAGGTGTGTCCTCGGCTCATGTCATGCTTTCCTGTTTGGCTTTTTGCATATGTCAGGTGCTGCTGTTTCGTGCTTCATTGTTTTTTGGTTGTGTGAATAATTATTTCTTGTCACATGAGCTTCTTCCTAAAAGCATTATATTGCTCTTTTAAATATTTATGTGGTTTTCTACAGGTCCTACTTGAACTAGCTGGTATTGTCTAGACAATGCGTAATATTGTTTTTTTTATTCACCTGCTATTTATTGTTTTCTTGTACAAGTGTAATGAATTGTGTACAAAATGTTCGTCAGACCTGTGTTAGAATACGCCAATATTGTCTGGTTCCCATTTTCTGTCACCAAAATTAACAAGTTAGAAGGAATTCAGAGGAAAGCAATTAGGTTTATATACAATAAGTATCGATTTTCTGACTCACCCACTGAACTTATTAAAAAAGCTGGAATCCTAACTCTTCAAAACCGAGCCAAATTAGCACGACTACGGTTCATGTACCAACTGATACATGGAGAGATAACGATTAATGCATCCAAATACATTTCTATTGCACAAACAAGACTGACCTGTCACACACATTCTGAAATGCTTGACGAGTGCTCATTTCACACAGATTTATTTAAATATTCATTCTTCTCATTGGCAATAAGGGAATGGAACCGGCTGAGACCTTCTATACTTCACTGTACTTCACTGGATAATTTTACCGCGGCAGTAAAAGAGCATTTACAAGGCGACAACGAATAACCCGTCTACATTGCAGACTCTCTGAATTACTCGTGTTCTGTACGAATTTTGTGTTTTTGTTAAATCAATAAAAGAAGGTAGTTGTTGTCAGGTTGTCATAGGTACGAGTATGAACATTGATTGTTGTTTTATTCTGTATACTGCGGGACTTTTTTATCATGCTCGTCACACTAGGTACGATGCAAATTATGTTACGCCTTTACTGTTCATTCCTTTTTCAAACAATTACCCTGTGCTAAAAAGTGCCTAGCCCTCAACATGTATTCCCCTCGTGTATGTAAGTGTTATAACTTGAAAGCCCAAATGATTTGTTTTTTTTTATTTCTTTTTATTGTTCACATTCTATGAAATGCCCTTCCTGCTAAAATCCCAAATGGGATTAGCAGTATCTGTAAATAAATAAATAAATAAATTGCATTGTATCCTGTGCTGACTCAATTTAGGGCAATGCATAGATGGCAAGTCCTTTGTCAGACACAAAATCTTCCTTCCAAGGCCCAATATGTGTCGAAAAAAAAAAAAAAAAGAAATACCCCAAAATGAGGTAATGTGCTCTCATGGTTAATTGAGCATGAATGGATGCCAAAGTAAGCTGGCAAATTGTGGTAAATTGAAAGTGGACATGCTAATCCACATGTGCCCTGTATATGTATGCCTCACAAAGAGCTTATCATAGAAAGTTAAACTTGGAACGTATGCCGTAGTCATAATGATCGGTCACACAACTTTCGCTGCTGAAAACATGGAATATTTTTTGTGGCTCAGCATATGACAGTGGCCATATTACATTTTAAAGGTGTGGTTGACTTTCTCACAATCACAAATGGGTGAGCAACTCTAGTGACCCAGACTGCGTTTAGGAGGTATGTTCCCTGATCCCTTCTCAGCTTTCTGAGTGTCTTTGTTGTGCACCGAGATGAATGAAATGGGTGCAGAGAGGCTCATCACGAATGAGCATGGCATGCTAACTCTGGCGACAGCCTAACGGGGTTTTCTGAAAAAAGGTAGACTGACAAAAAAAGATGATTTTCTGATTGAATAACTTAATAAGGAACTGGCAGATCTCGTGCATTATGGGAATTGATATAATGCCAGCCAGGAGCGAAACATGCTGTACATAACATGCGTGTCATGATTTACTCAATGTTAGGACCTCTCGTCTATGTTTGTGATATAGTCATGTCACCCATTACCAATTTTTGTCTATATCAAGCTAGCCCTTGCTAACTCTAGCTTAGTTTCTGGCTAACTGGCTGCGAGCATACCATGAGCGTGGTCATTGTACCTGTCGTTTACTGTAGTTACAGTACTTGTTACAGTACTGCCCCGCCGCAGTGGTCTAGGGGCTAACGTACTCCGCTGCTAACTCGCAGGTCTCAGGATCGAATCCCGGCTGCAGCAGCTGCATTTTCGATGGGAGCGAAAATGCTGTAGGCCCGTGTGCTCAGATTTGGGTGCACGTTAAAGAACCCCCGGTGGTCTTAATTTCTGGATCCCTCCACTACGGCGTCTCTCATAATCATATGGCAGTTACGGGACGTTAAACCCCACATATCAATCGATCATTCTTACAGTACTTTAACTGCCCCGCCGTGGTGGTCTAGTGGCTAAGGTACTCGGCTGCTGACCCGCAGGTCGCGGGTTCAAATCCCGGCTGTGGCGGCTGCGTTTCCGATGGAGACAAAAATGTTGTAGGCCTGTGTGCTCAGATTTGGGTACACGTTAAAGAACCCCAGGTGGTCGAAATTTTCTGAGTCCTCCACTACGGCGTCTCTCATAATCATATACAGTTAAACCTCGTTATAACGAGACAGGCTATAACGAAATATTGGATATAACGAGCAAATCCTAATTCCCCTTGAAAGTCCCCATACGAACCAATGTATTCAAAACCTCGTTTTAACGAGGCAAAACTTGCCTGATGTGGGATATAACGAACAAATTTTGTTAGGAAGTAAAATTTTCAGCCGATGTCACGACAGTGCACAACGCGAATTTGAGACTGCGCGCAACGCGAGAACTGTATTTAGCAGTTCAAAACTCCCGCCACGCGCCCTCCAACAACGCGCTCAAAGCAGACGGCACGCGCTGTTTCCGGAGGAGAGGTCGCTGCACGTGCGCCGCTTGGCTACCACCGACAGGGGAGCGCTCAGCAGCTCTGGGAACGTTTCACCCTTTTCTTTTCTTTTGTGTCTTCTTTACATTCTCCCTCTCCCCTTTCTCATGGCGCTGAGGCGCGCTTCCTAATCTTACATACCCCCTTCCCCTTGAGTAACCGGTTCCTAGAGGGCAGCGCAAAAGAGCGCCCCTTCTGCCCCTTCCTCTTCACAGTCACTTTCTCTGCAAGTGTTGTCCCCGGCTGCGGCGGCTGCATTTCCGATGGAGGCGGAAATGTTGTAGGCCCGTGTACTCGGATTTGGGTGCACGTTAAAGAACCCCAGGTGGTCGAAATTTCCGTAGCCCTCCACTACGGCGTCTCTCATAATCATATGGTGGTTTTGGGATGTTAAACCCCACATATCAATCAATCAAGTGTTGTCGCTCGCCGACGTGAGCCGCGTTGCTTTTGCGTGCGTGTTTCTTCTCTTTTTCGACCGCTTCCGCTTTATCTTTTATCGTGCTGTGCTCCTGATTCCACCAACATGAATGCGCCAGGCGGGAAGCGAAAGCGCATAACGCTAGATCAGAAGGCAGCTATGATAAGAGCCGTCGAATCGGGGACCAAGAAAGGCAACGTGGCAAGAGGCTTTTACGTATCGACAAGCACACTGTCAACCATCTTGAGCAAGCAGAAGTCCATCATCGACGCTATTGCACGTGGCGTGAAAGGAAGCGCTAAGAGGATGAGGGCACCTGTTTTTGAAGCAGTCGAAAAGGCCATTTTTAAGTGGTTCTTGGACACGCGGGCCGTGAATCTGCCATTGAGTGGCGCCTTGCTGCAAAGAAAAGCGAGAGCTTTGCCTGCATCATGGACTATGACAACTTTGTAGCAAGTTCGGGTTGGCTCCAGCGCTTCAAGGAGCGCCACAACGTTGTCAGGAAAGCGGTCTGCGGCGAATCGCAATCTGTCGACGAAGCATAGGCTACCAAGTGGGCGAAAGAAAACATCGTGCGGCTGCTAGAAAAATACAGCGTGGGGGATATTTTTAACGCGGACGAAACCGCTTTCTTTTTCAAGATGTTGCACAAGAGGTTAGCCCTCAAAGGCGAGCCGTGCCATGGCGGCAAACAAAGTAAGCTGCGGATCACTGCACTACTTTGTGCAAACATGACCGGCTCTGAGAAGCTGCCAATTTTCGTAATTGGCAAAAGTGCATCCCCTCGCTGCTTTAAGGGGAAGAGGCAGCTCCCAGTCAAGTACGTAGCCAATCGCAAAGCCTGGATGACCAGGGAGATTTTTTCAAAATGGCTTTGCGAGTGGGACGAGAAGCTGGCAAAGGCGAACCGCAAGGTGTGCCTTGTTCTAGATAACTGCACCGCCCACCATACCGCTGCCCTGCTTCAAAACATTGAGCTGCTGTTCCTTCCTGCCAACTGCACAGCAAAAATACAGCCCCTCGACCAAGGCGCGATTATGTCGCTGAAGGCAGGTTACCGCAAGCGTGTGATAGACAAGCTACTGCGCAACATGAGGATGAAGCGAGACACCGATGTTGACGTGTACGCTGCGCTCGAAATGCTTCAGGCGGCGTGGATGAGTGTGACGGCGACCACGATCGCAAACTGCTTTCGACACGCCTCATTTGCCGCCGCACCAGACGCCAGCGATGAGCCATCAGATGAGCCCACTGTGCCGGACGGTTTTGCCACATCAGACGAAGTCGCTGCATCATGGACGACACTTCGTGACGCCGGTGTCGTGCCTGACAGCGAGTCGTTTTGCGACTATGTGAGTGCGGACTCGGAAGTGGTGGCAACGGAGCAGCTCCTGGATGACGATATTGTGCGCGGTGTCAGTGATCGTAACGAAACCAGTGACGATGACTCTGTCGACGAACAGGAGACAAACGTGCCGACGGCGTCGGAGGCATTAGACGCGGTGGACGTACTGCGTCGCTACTTCGGCGTTCACGAGGGCGGCGAAGATGGCTTGAACATTGCGGCGGCAGCTGAGCGAGCCATCGTTCGCATCAGGAAGATGCATCAGCGTCCAATTATGAACTTCTTCGCAGCTAAGTCTGCCTGAAATGCAAGCTGTGTATTTTTAAGTGCATTAAAACAGGTGCATGACTTTTTTTCTTTTTATTTGGGAATGCGGTTATTTTGTTGCATATCACCGTGTGGCGGGATGCTATTTTGCCCGCTATTTTTTTGGGGTAAGTACAGTGCATGATATTTGCGGTAAATGCCCGCTACGGCTATAAGGAAATATTGGTTATAACGAGTAAATAGCGGCGGACTTCCAATTTCGTTATAACGAGGTTTAACTGTAGAGGTATTGGGACGTTAAACCCCACATATCAATCAATTACAGTACTTCAACTAACTCTCTTCACAACCATACGCATTGGGAGAGAGAGAATCTCATGACTTGATTGATATACATGTGCACCGCCTTTTTGAACTACCGCCGACAGTGTTGCCACAAAAAAAAAAGAAACCGAAAGCTGTGCCCCCTCGCCCCCCCCAAAAAATATCTAGCTACGTCCTTGGTTTCCCGTGCCTCTTTTGGCACCCTTGCTGCGAACACGAGAAGCTCACTGCCACAGCTGCGCCAGTTTATTTGCAGCAGAAAACACAACAGTAATGTTATACTTACTAGCCACTTTCTTTGAATTATTGAGTACATATGGCACCACCTGCGGTGTTGCAAGTTTGTTTTCTAAAGTGCTATACCCGAGTACTGATTGCTTATGAAGAAACTGGCACATCCTATAAGACAAGAATCAAGTAATTTGATGATTAAAGGATGTGTTCAAGTTTTGTTATTATCATGCTAGTGCAACACTTTAATGTGTTGGCTTCATGCACAAGTGAGAACTACATTTGTACTCTGCAGGTTGGTGCAGGGGACAGGCAGGCTCGCCTGCTGACGTTGAGGCAGTTCTTGCACACGTACCACACCATTAAGGCGTACTACTCAGCTGCTGCCTCAAGTGGAGCTGCCAAGATGTGTACCTCTACCTTATTCTCTGGGTGGGTTCTTTTGTCTTTGTCATGCATAATCTAGAACCTGGTACGCTCGCATCTGAATGTGCAAAATGAATACCGAAACACGACGGCACGAGCCAACCACACACTTCATTGCCTGGAACTTGACATTATTTAATATATACAGTCAGGGGGAAGAAATCCATGTCTAAACGCCTTGTGCTTTCAGATCAGCTGTTGCTTGCTTTTGGGATGTGTTTTCACTCACATTTTCCGCGTTCATATTGTCAGTCAGTATTTCTTTGTGAGGCAAAGAAAAATGTATGATGCTGCTTTGGAATGCAAAAACACTGTTTTTTTCCACATTCCACATGCACTTTGTCGCACCAACGTCGACTTTGTCATTGTCGCTGCACTGGCACGTAGCATGGGACAGATTGCCCTGCCAAGTTGACAAAGCCTCAGTTAAAGTAGGTCTATTTGGCACTCCTGGTCGAGATGGTGTAATGGTGAACGGGTGATCAATTTTCCTCAGGAGGTTGAGGCTGGTAGCGGCGCAGTCATCGGGTAGTGCACATCGGCGTTCTGTCAGGGTTAGGCTCTTCCCTGTTGCAGGTCAGATGGCTTCCTTCAAAACCAGTTAGGGTGTTACCTCGAAACCTTGTCAGTGTAAGAACATAGAAGCGCCGTTGTTGCGTGGATCTAAGCTAGCATATAGCATTTGGATGCAGCTCATGTTGACATCTGTCGTGTCGATCGAAGCACTGCCAAAGAAATGGTTGACAATAAGGATGAAACACGTTGTGATTCTTTGTTCTTTTGTTTATTCAATGATTTATTTATTTATTTATTTATTTATTAGAATACCCTCAGGGCCCGTAGGGCATTACAGAGGGGGTGGGTACAACATATATAACACACAAGAAAAAAAGACAAAATAAAGAAACAAGTATCAGATGCGCAAATCAGGAAGGCAACATAAGTCAACTAAAAATGTATAAGAATTCAAGCACATACAAGACAAAGATAGATAATGGAAACTGCGTATAGTTACAAGCATTGCTGAGAAATTGCAGTCTTGAATAACAAAGGGTCTGTTATTGACACAACGGAAGAGGGAAGGTGGTTCCAATCGGCGGCTGTTTTCGGTAAGAAGGCTGCTGAAAAGAATTTGGTGCGGCAAAACGAAATGGCAACCTTATGCTGATGATCAATGCGCGATGAGTGGTATGACGGTTGTGAAATGAGGTCTCGCTTCATTGATGGATTGTGAAAAAATATCTTATGAAAAAAATGCAGTCGCGCCAGTTTCCTCCGGACAGTTAAATTGGGTAGGTCAAGGTTAGATTTCATTTCTGATATGCTAGCAGTACGGGAATAATTAGAACAAATGAACCGAACTGAGCGGTTCTGAACAGATTCTAACGCGTTAATTAAATTTTGCTGCACGGGATCCCATATAGCGGACGCGTACTCAAGCTTTGGGCGAATTAGTGATCGGTATAATAGAATTTTGAGGGACAGCGGAGCGCGAGAAAAGTTGCGGCGTAAGTATCCTAGCATTCGGTTAGCGTTATTACAGATGTAGGTAACATGCGTGTGCCAAGATAGATTGTTGGTAATGTAAACGCCGAGGTACTTATATGAAGAGACATGCTGGAGGGGAACGGCGTTAATTCTGTAGGTACAGGGGGGAGAAATAGATCGCCGGGTTATTGACATGCATTTAGATTTGTTAGAGTTGAGAGTCATAAGCCATTTATTGCACCAGGTTGAGACAGGATGATTACCCCGCTTAGCCCGAAGGCGCTGCAGCTTGGGGTTTCGATGTCGAGAAAAACACATCTCCATTTACACAGCAGACTTGGTTACTTGATAAGCGATTCCATTCACTTATGGAATGAACAAAAAACTAATTAGCATACAAATTTGATCTGGCACGATGCTCTAAAATCTTGAAGGAATGATCATTTTGCAAAGAGCTACAATGAGAACTGTGAAGGTACTTTTCTTTTCGTATGCCAATTTTACCATGAAATATTTGGCACAGGGGCTTTAGATGCAGTTTAATTTGACGCGATGAGAGTAATTCTTATCCTACTTGATTTTTCATATTAGTGTAACTGTCATTTCTTGAGTACCTCCTTAGGACAAATTTTGCAGCTTATTTTGTAGTTTTTCAAGTCTGTAACTCAAAGTACTCTGTCAGGGGTCCCACACGGCACAAGCGTATTCAAGCATAGGGCAACATATCGCTTGCAGTATTGACTTTGACGGCAAGCGGCATGTCTTTCTTGACCAGTAGGCTCGAGCATTGAGGCCGTGTTTGATGTTCCTCGATTCTGGAGAGCTGCACAGCTGGGTCGGGTTTTTGTTCGAACATTGGTACATCAAGTGATGAAGTAAGCGGTGGCTGACCGTACGGAAAACCTGGTGGGCTTACGGCAATGTTGGCAATACTGTTAAACATTAATATACTGAAATTGGTAAATTCCCAGAAAATTTTTGTATGAAGGGGATTTCGTTATATGCAGGTATAGTGCGAAAATTTGAAAAAAAAAAAGTGCACAAATAATGAACAAACAGAAAGAAGACTGAATGCAGAGCTAACCCAAAACTTTTATTTAGGGTGTTGCGACTCCGGGTCCCGCGGGCCTCAGTTTGGTAGCGGGCCCCCGTCCAAGGACCCATCGTCGAACAAGTCAGATGAGGGGCTCGTAATAACGACAACAATTTATTTACATGGTTAGTAACTGAGAATTAGAAATGAGGTGATCAAGTGATCAAGTAGAAGTCAAGAACTGTACATGAGAACTGTTGAACTGTAGAACTTGTAGAACACGAAAGTCTTCGGCTTATATAGTGCCTCGTTGCCAACCCTGGGCACATTGTCCGTGGCTTCCGCCAATAGGGCGCTCCATGGTCTAGGTGCTCCACCCACGAAGGAGAAGAAAGACACCACACAATGCATGCGGAGAGGGCACAGTCCACACGATGCCCAAATATGGTCACCAAAGCACTTCACCAACGTTTTTGCACACGTCACCAAGTTTCACGCACGTCCGATGATTTTGGTTTCCAAGATTCTTCTGGCAGCTGGGTGAGGTTCGAAAAACCGGCTGCCAGTACACATGTTAAACTTGCCTGACTGTTTGGGTAGGACAATGTAGTGGTGGGCCAGCATACCCTAAAAATATTCCACTCCATTCAGCCGATCCTATGGAAAAACGGGGGGAGGGAGGAGTAGTCAACTAATCCCTCGTCGCCGAGGCGAGCTCGGGCAAGGGCTGCAGCAGACAGAGCATTATCCTTTTCTTCACCCCCACATTCCATTCCTGGTTGTTTGCTAGAAGCTGCGGCTTAGCTGCACATATCCCGGGGCTCTGCTTGTCCTCGCAAGATGCAGCCACAACCAATTTGGCTTTAGCTTGCAGCCTGAACTGCAAATACCATGCTGGTTCCGAGATTTTCAGATCCATGGTGACCTTGAAAATGGCCCAGCTGTCTCCTTGTCTGCCTCGAAAGCCTTCTTGGCGCGAACCAGTCCCGAACCCCTCGTTCAGGTTTTGCCGAGAGGAAATCAACCCGTCTTGACGTCACACCATTGTTTGGAATGCATCGAAATATTTTCGCTATGTTCACAAAGGCCAAAAAACTTCAATAATTATGACGGTCGTAACGAGGGGTGAAAAGCTGCGTTGCTATTGCAATAGCGATTACTTGGACACTCTCAGTGGGGCCTTGTTGTCGCTGCCATGTTTTCTGTAACAAGAACCAATTAATAACATGCCCCGGCGCATCGTAACTTTTATGAACGAGTAAAAGCGTGCAAGCGTTGCTGAAGCAGAGGTTAAATGAGTCAGCTTATCTCAATTATCTAGAAGGTGCATAAGATAGCATTCCCTGCATGTTAGAGCTGCTGTCGAAGGCTCAAACAGAAAGGAAACCACCTGTCTTGAACGAGCATAAAAAAAAATGCAGGGCAGGAGGGGGGGGGAGGGGGAGGCCGAGGATCGTTTGGCAACAATGAACTTGGATATTCAGGGCAATCATGATTGCTGGCGCGCTTGCTATCTCGGCAAGTATCAGTGCACTTTCAACGCGAAGAGACTGTGTTAAAAGAGCACTTCTCCCTGGAGCGGCCGTATTTGCTCACACCAGCGTTCTGTAGAAGTTCCGCGTTATCAGATCCAAGGGGGTTGGCTGCCTTACTTCAATAACATTACAAATTTTTACTATCATGTTTATTGCATTGCATTGAACGTGCCGTCATGTTGTTGTCTGAACTAACCGGCTAATCGCGAAAGCTATGAGCCTGCAAACTCTCGGGGCTGTGCAAGACGGAAGCATGAGACGAGTCGACCTTCGAAGATCCGTCATCATTGTGGTCTCAGAGAGTTTCCATCAGCACCTGATCTGACATCCTCTCAGTAGTGGTGACACGGTTGTCCACATTTAAAAAAATTAAAAAAAAAGGCAAAGCTGAACATTGTTGGGGGCCACACCACGCGCGCGCAGTGAAACCATGCACCCGTGCTCGGTGTCGAAAACGAAGAGCGAACAACATGAACACAGACATGGATACCGGGAAAGACTATTCGATAAAGCGCCCTCCAAATGCAGCGCTGTTCCGCATATGTGACACTAACTAAAAGCATGGCCCTGCCAATGCAAAAATAGCTTTTTTTTCTTGTTTCGTGTTTGGTTTGGAGGGAGAAGGGGTACATCTGCGCATGCTTCTGGGGTGGCAAGAAAACGGTGCCAAGAACGGTGGCAACACCGGCTTGTGGGATGCAGGCCTACCTGCCCCCGCCTTGCGCTCACACAGAGGTGATTTGCTTAGATTAGCTTGCTTGATGTTTCGGTTTTTTGGTTTGTTTATCTGTGAATGCGTTGTACAGACTTGAGAAGAAAGTCTTTTTCTAAAATAAACGTCAGTTGCTAGTGCTACATTTCTGCTCTCTGTGTGTTTCTGCTACTCTGCTTTTTCAGATTTTGAAGTGTTGTGGCTTTTGTAGTTTACTGCTTATAATGAATATTCATAT